CTATCTATCTATCTATCTATCTATCTATCTATCTATCTATCTATCTAAGAGTTTCTCCTAGATTTCTCTCTCATAGAACAACCTTGAGTACAAATGTTATTTTTATTTCCTGTGATGTGCGGATGATATGAGAGCCGTACCCAATCTGTACAAAGACATGACTTGGGCTAATTCCAGAGCATTTCTTTCTTCTGTTCTAACTATCCCTAGGCCAAGACCTAGAAGCTTCTAGCTTCCATACAATCTTATCTTCTGCAAACATTGAAGGCTTCAGCTTCCAGCCTCAGTCTGCTAAGCTAGGTTTAATAAAATTCAGCCCCTGAGACTTAGTGCTGAATTAACTCTCCCTTTATAACTCTTTCTGAACTCTCGCTGGCTGTTTCAACCCAGCTGTTCTGGCCCAAATTTCTCTCCAAGCTAACTTATTCAATCTGGCTTCTCTCTGAGGCTTCTGACTGAATATTATTATTCTGCTTGGCCTCAAGCTAACTCTAGAAACATATTCTAATCTTCTCCCTTCTTTTCACTCTCTGCCTCATTCTCTCTGCCAGTTCTCTAAAACTGTCTCAGTAAAAGTAACATACACACTATCTTCTTTTCCTTCTTCTCTTTCTCCTCCTACTCTGAGTTGCCTCTCTTTCCTGTCTGATCTTGTGAAGTTGGGTGTTACTTTCTGTCTGACTCATTTTGTCAGATCTTTCTCTTATTTATCACTTTGTCTGTCCCTCTTTTAGACATCACTTTCACACATTGCTGATTTATTCTATAAACTAATATTACTTTCATTATTTGGATTAAAGGTGTGTACTAAGGGCATATCTGCATTCCAGCCAAGTCACATAGACCTAGAAGGTATTCAGATGTGATTTCTTGCCAGAGCAGCCATGTTGCTGGATTAAAATTCTTCTATACTTGAGGCTAGTACTAATACTATTAAAGGTTCCATATATAGCATCATGTTAGAAAAAATATAAGTGAACATTTCTTGTTAATAATCATGTTTTGAATAGTTACAATGAACTATTTTGAATAACTTTTTGTATAATCAAAATTTATAACATAATATGTTAAATATGTGTGAAATATATGCTAAAAATATACATGTGAATTCTTTCAAGTAGCCACTAACAAACTAAAAAGTATAGATATTTAAAATGCATTTAAAAACTGTGAAAAGCATAAATGACATTATCAGTTTACTGTGGTTAAATTATTCTAATGAAATTAATTTTCACCAGAGAAGTTGCCAAATTGTGAATAAGGAAATCAGAGCTATGTTACCATTTTGCTCTATATTTAAGCTGGTGTGTTTGTAGTTTACATGGTTTACTTATGCAAGAGCTTGTCTTCATTGATACATTTGTTAAAGTATGAACAATTCTCCCTCCAAATATTGAATTCATCTAGTTTACCAAAATTCCTCTTGTACGCTTGATGTTTGTATATTTTCCACATAAGTTATCTTAACCTATTTTATAGTTTGTCACTTCAATATTTTCACTGTGGTCACAATTTCTAAACACAAGTTCAAATTAATTTTTGAAACTGAGATTTTTTTTTTTTGTTTCTTGAAATTTTTATTAAAATGCTAAGAATTTTATAAAACATATATATTTAATGAAAAGATTATAAAGATAAATTCTCAATTTTACCATAATTGTATTTATGGTGAAACCAGAAATTTATTTATAGACATGAAACTGAGATTTTTATGTTCTGGTTGAACCTCAACTGAAATGTCTGACAACATACTCGATTAGCTGATAGGCTTTTCAAAGAGAGACCAAGAAAACAATTCCAGGGCATCCAATGGTTTAAGCAGCACAAACAATCTGTCTCTATTTAGGCAAAGGCAGTTCTTCTGGCTCTTCTGGTTTACTTCCCTCAGGAGTCTCCATATAATTTCCTGCTCTCTTCCTTTTTTATCCTGAACCTATTTCATGATTGCTGGCAGTTCAATTCCTTCCTTTATCCAACTTGTATTGTGTGTACCACTTAGATAGCTTTTGATTGTAAGTAACTAAAAAATAAACACAAATTTGTTACATTTAAAAAGAAATACATTGGCTTGTATTTTTGGCAATGTCAATGAATTTTGCTTCAGAAAAGACTGCTTCCCTTAGTGGATAAGAATCCCTCCATCTATTTCTGCCTCTTCCCCTTAATCTCCATCTCTATCTGCATCTCTCTCTGTCTCCCATACAGAGATAACTCTACTCACCTTTGGCTCCAGTAGCCAGTACTACATTTTCTCATGGTCCTAGTGATGAAGCAGAGGGTCCACACTTATCTGCTTTTTCATTATCTTCTAGTGTTACAATGGGGCATTGCTCAAATAAAATTTAGAAAACGAATCTTGACTTACTATATTTGGATGGCCTTTGTTAGATGAAACTGACTTGAGCCAATCAGAAACCATTTATAAGTTTATAGAGCCCTTCAATCTAATTACTATATATTGTTTAAGAATATTGGCAAAGGTAAAAACTATGAAAGAGAAAGATGTTGATAAAGTACTTGTAATGGAGAAAATTAGTTACATTTTCTAGATTTTATAGAATTCTGAATTTTGTGCATAATGAGCTAAATAAGTAAAATAATTACTTGATATGCACACACATTTTTCTTTTTTTAAATGTTTTATTTATTTATTTTCTTTTTTTTACCATTAGTTACAATTCGTTTACTTTGTATCCCAGCTGTAGCCCCCTCCCTCATTCCCTCTCAATCCCACCCTCCCTCCCTCATCTCCTCCCTGCTCCTATCTATGTCCATTGATAGGGGAGGTCCTCCTCCCCTTCCATCTGATCCTAGCTTATCAGTTCTCTTCAAGACTGGCTGCAATGTCCTCCTCTGTGTCCTAGCAAGGCTGCTCTTCCCTCGGGGGGTGAGGGTAGATCAAAGAGACAGCCACTGAGTATATGTCAGAGACAGTCTCTGTTCCCCTTACTAGGGAACCTACTTGGATACTGAGCTGCCTTGTGTTACATCCTACTACTCAACCTTAATTAAGATTTTCTGCCTGAGCTTCAATACTATGTCTGGAAGACTCAAAAAAAAAAGGGCAAAATAAATTTGTGATGGGCTTTAGATTATTTTTAATTTTTAAACTAGAGGTGCTGCTCTTGTTCAAAGTGAAGAACCCTCTCGATATTTTTGTGTTGTGTTTTACACATATATGATCATTAGTGGAAATTTTAAGAGTATATAATACACTTAAAAGTTAATTGTCTTGGGCGAGTCGTAAGTATTTCTGTACAGAAATGTAAGGTAACATTATCCTTTGTTTAAGAATAATTTTAAGCATACAAACACTCAGGATGCTCATTTATTATCTGGAAAACATAAATGGAGCAATCTGCTTTCTGAAAAATGAAAGCTTCATAAAAACAAAATTTCTCTCTAAGTTTAAGCACAGTTTTTTCAAAACAACAACAATAATAACATAATTCCTATATAGATGAGAAAACAGTTTAATGGCCCAATTTATTAGCTGATCTTCCTTGTTGCTTCTTTGACACTGGAGTTGTAAAGTTTTAATACTCAATCTCAACTTTGCTTCCAGTTTTCATATATCTTATATGTAATTTTATGTTATAGGTACAGCTAGAGAACATTGTCATATGTTTTCAAGACATTTGACTGTAGAGAGGGCAATTGATACTGTAATTTGATGAGAAGGGACTCACTGATACACACAGCAGTTTGTGGTACACTGGAGCATCTATCTAACTTTGATTCTCACAAATGGAGGGCTTTTCCATGTTTCTGTAGATGCAAGCACAGGGCATTTAGTGCAGATGTTACATGAATGATTACAACTACAATGCCATCACCGGAAATGTTAGTTCCGTAAGAGTTGAACAGTTTCTGAAATGCATAAAGCAAAGGGCTCTGCTCATCACTGATTTAACAAATTCAAGACACACCAGGAAAATTCACCTGCCACCAAGCCTGGTGAGCTGAGTTTGTGCCTAGCACTTTCAGGAAGAAATAAATCGATTCTCACAGTTGTCCTCTTATCAGCACACATATGCTTTGACATATGGACGCTTATGCAGATCACACATACACACATAGACACACAGATAGACAGACAGACACACACACACACACACACACACACAAACAAACTGAAAAATTCATACATCTCTAACATCCAGCAGTATTGAGACCTTGATCTGGACACACACAAAAACCAAAGTGCTGAAGCATTAGTTCACAGCACACAGAGACATATTTAACAATATGTAAAAACAATCATTCCTTCAGAACTTTAATGCTGGAGGCAGAAAAGAAAATCATGCAGTGCAGGACTTTCATCCCACCCCAGGTAGCTTAACTACTTCAGTTTTATCCTACCAAGTCCAACAAGGGCTGACAAACAGCACCACAGAAGGAGAAACATCTCCCGGGCAATGGTGTGTATAGACAGAAGGATTTTTTTAGTCAATGGCAGGAATTAGACATTAATGCTTTATACTAAAAGACTTCACACCCCAGATAGTTGCTTCTATGCACTGAATCTTGGCAGGTTGTGAGCTGCCGGAAGTGAAGCCGTGAAGCCATGCTAAGCAGATCTCCATGCATGAACAAAATGTTTTATTTATGACGCTCCTTTCTTTGGAACAGTTCAAACTCCCATTATGCTCCTTGAAAAAAAATCAGCTTGGTCAACCTTTTAGATTTTAATACTAATTTCATTTCAAAATCATCTCTGTAGAAATACAGAATGATGCAGATTCCCTCTTCCACCAGTAGTTTTGAAATGAATAATTCTAGACCTTTTGATTTAAGATATTAAGAAAAATATATGACCAAAGTTTTTAAAGCATTCACCAGATGTGTTGAAGCACAAGCTACCTTACCATTGTGTGGGAGTTCCAGTGGTCTACAGGCATCATTTTCTACTCTCAGTTTTGGTGAAGAGATGAGCACTTTGGCGAGGGATGCTGAGATGGGCTGCACTAATAGGTGGGTGAGGTTTGGCCGGTTTTGTCTAAAGCTTCCATCTGGATTCAAAAGAGAAAAGAGCCCAATCCTTAGACAATGGACACTGAAAACAATCACAGACAAGTTCTTTGCAATCAAGTGGATGAATTTTGAATAGTAGGTTTACATTTATTTGTTTATTCACTTTTCAATTATATTCTGTTTGTTTGTTAAAGATACTTGAAACACTCTAAAATTATTTAGTCTGGTAATACTATGTATCTTCCTTAACAATGTACACACAAACTTACCACCAATTCTACTAATATGATTCAAAGGTAACAAGAAAGGAATGGAGACACAGAAGTGCACCAGAACCAAGACTGCACTGGTCTGTGGCTGGATTGTAGGAGGTGAAAAATGGTTAAATAGCTGCTAGCAGAGTGGATCCCAGCGAGGGAAGCTATGGTGAGAAGACTGAGAAGGAATGTGGCTTGTAGCATAGAATTCAGATATCCAATGAACTGGCAGCTCCTACTACCTTCAACAGGATAAAGAAGGGAGACCTGTGCAATATTGTTTAGAGAATGCCTCTGCCCTTGCACACACACCCATTGTAGATTCCTGGCTCTTCCTTATGCCAGTGGGAAGTTGTGGGATACAGAAGAGGGAGGCTTTAGACAATGATGAAATTCCCCTTGTTAAACATGATAGGCTTAAGATTGCCAAGAATACTCTTACGGAAATCTCTGTGACCAGTGCCTTCCAGCTATAGAGCATTTGTTAGAAGCAGATATAAACAGATCAGTAGAAAAGACCTTTTAAAATTAATGAAAATCAGGAAGCCACTGATAAAAACAACTTGTCTGAGAACTCCCCCACTTAAGGCCAGAGTCAATGAATTTTACTTGTATTGAAAATTAAAATCAACTTAATTCTGCCCTTTCTTGAGAGCAAGCTCTCAACAAAAATCATCTGCCCAGAAAAGTGAAGCTGTCAGCAGAGTCCAAGAGGCTGCAGAAAGCCTCCAGGAAGACAGAATGAATGGGGATACATATCAGATGTGAGCTAAGGGCTCCAGCGAACATTTACAGTAAGAGTGGAGTTAGGATTTAAAGAATTCCCAGACATACTGGAAAATCAGTATCCTCTGAAGACAGTGATTAGCTTTAACAGGATCAGAGGTTGTATAAAAAAATGCAATAGTATAGTATCACTAGAAATAATATCCTCATAATCAGTAGAATCAGGAAAATTCTGTCTCAGGAGAAAGGAGATTGGGGCAAGAACTTGAAATGGGATACATGAGACATGAAGGTAAATCTCAGTGACATGTGATGACGAGTCAGTGTAATGCATAAAGCTGAACTGCAGTGTTAAGAAGATGGCTCAAGCAGGAAATACTAGTTCAAGGACCCAAGTTTTTTTCCCAGAAATCTCATGTTACAGTGTTGATGGAAGTGGCTGGTATTGTGACATACATTTTGAATAACAGCAGAGACAATGGAATATCTGGGACTCGGGTTAGGCAGCCTAGTCCAGTTCAAAAGTTCCATGGCACAAATGATAGACTTTATGTAAATAAAAAATGCAAGTGCCTAAGAAGCATCATCCAGGGCTATATATGGCTTAGACACACACTTATGCAAACTACATATACATGCACACACATACTGATTGGTAAAAGTGATGTACCTCAAACACATATGGAGGAGTAAGAAGAAAACTATAAGACAGAGATGAAAAGGAAAGATGCCGAAACCAATTAATTGTGCACTTGGGAGAAACCAAGAGGAAAAAGAGACATAGGAAAGGGTAGAACAAAAAGATATTAGTTAATACATCCTCTTCTAACTATTTGGATAAGTAATGAACTAAATTTATCTTTAATAAAATGCAAATCAAACAAAACTGATAAGACAAAATAATTATGACAATGATCACCACACTCAGAGTAGAGTGGAGGAGACAATAAACCAAATATGTTAAAGTAAACAACAAAATACTTGATAAAACTATTTTATTGACTCAGAAGAGAAAATTCACACTTGAATGCCGATAGTTATATTTCAGAAAGCAGTATCATAACTTTCAGAAACTTTATTAGGAAAACGATTCCTGGAGGCTTGCTTAGAATTTAATTTGATTTGTCTGCAGGGGTGTGGACTTCCATGATCCTGGTAACCAGTTTCCAGGAGGCATATTATACATAAAAATAATGTTTGTGAATGGCTTCTTTAATTTATTATCCAGAAAATCACCAGACCAAAACAAAACAAAACTGATATTTACCTTAAGGCTGTGGCTGTTATGGAAGTCACAGCTTTGAAGAAACAATAATAAAGGTTTGAACTAAGAATCAGATTTGTTGGCGAAGCACAGGGACAGTCATAGGTCTCCATAACTCCTTTATGCCCACATGTGACAGCTGGTTTTGACCTAGTGTAGTTCACTGCTCCCTGACCATTTTATGTCGAAGACCATAATAAGCCATATAATTTGTAGAGCCCAGAGCAAGGCAACAATGTAGGGTTGATAGTTGGAAAAGCAGGAAGGATTATGACATGACAACAGATTATAAATCAAGTATGACATCTTTCAGAAAAACACTATGGAACTGCACATGTCATATACCCATGAGCCAGCATATGCAGGCTTCACAGACATGATGCTAGGAGTCATATAGCCTGCTAGGTGAAAATATTGTTGACAGGCAAGCTTCAGGAGGTTGCGTTCAACCATTAATAAGCAGGCCTGGGTTCTCTTCTGCTTCAGTCTGCACCTTGAGCTAACAGTTCTTTTCTCAAAACACAGATCACACCTGGAGGGCTAGTTGGGAAGTTTTGGAATAGCCAGCTGACTAAGGCTCACCATGTATGCAATTCCCACCCAATTGTGACTTGCGATGCTTTGATATCACATGGAACAGTATCTTTAAACGTGGTAATGTTTTAATTTTGACATTTCCATATATTGTACAGTATATATTGATAACATATACCCATAACTACCTCCATCCGAACTCCCTAGATCCCTCTTAGCCTCCTAGTTTCTAGTTATCCTTTAAATTTTTACTTTATTTTTAAAACACCATATTAATATTTCTATGCATGCTATTTTTATATTATTTTAAGTTACCTGGTGAAATTTTTTCTTGCAGTTTCTCAAATTCAATTTTCTTGATCAATTCCACTTACCAAAACTGAATCAAGACCAGGTTAATCAATTAAATAGTCCTATATCCCCTAAGGAAATAGAAGCGGTCATCAAAATCTCTTATCCAAAAAAAATGCCCAGGACCAGATGGTTTCAATGCAGAATTCTACCAGACCTTTAAATGGTGCTGGTCTAACTGGATGTCTACATGTAGAAAAATGCAAATAGATCCATACTTATCACCCTGCACAAAACTAAAGTCCAAGTGGATCAAAGACCTCAACATAAAACCAGACACACTAACCCTGTTAGAAAAAAAAAAAAAAAGTGAGGAAGAGCCTGAAACTCATTGGCACAGTAGACAACTTCCTGAACAGAACACCAACAGCACAGGCTCTAAGAACAACAATCAATAAATGGGACCTCATGAAACTAAGAAGGTTCTGTAAGCAAAGGACACTGTCGTCAATACAAAATGACAGCCTACAGACTGGGAAAGGATCTTCACCAACCCTCTATCTGACAGAGGGCTAATATCCAGCATATATAAAGAACTCAAGAAGTTAAACAGCAAAAAATCAAGTAATCCAATTAAAAAATAGGGTACGGAGCAAAACAGAGATTTCTCAATAGAGGAATATCGAATGCCCGAAAAACACTTAAAGAAATACTCAACATCCTTAGTCATCAGGGAAATGCAAATCAAAATGACTTTTTACGTTATTTCTGGGCTTCCAAGATAAAACCTCATACTTAAAAGGCAAATGTTGCCTTACATCCCCTGGCACTGTTTTCATATGAAGTCTGTGATATCCGTGTTGTCATAGATGTCAGGAATTTGTATATTCCAAATAGCAAAACAAAACTTCTCATGATCACACAGGATGCCATGCCTATGCCATACAAAATAATTTTAAGCCTTGGGTTTCCAGTATTCACAAATCATCTACTGACGACAGTATATTCTGTGTATTCTGTGAACTACCTTTACGGTGTGTTGACTTGAGCCATTAATTCACCCACATGGGATCACCACACATGTCTAAGGCGCTCACTCTCTGCAAAGTCACTTTCCTATAGTAGGTTTGCACTGATGAATATTCCACCTCTATCCCTTCACAATTTTGGTTTGTTTTCATTTCCAGTTAATGTAATTACTACATAAAACAACTTCCATTTCCCTGTTAAAATATGGCACATGGTGCCTAGCACATTGTCAGGAAAGCCAGAGTCGGAGAATAATAAAAGAATCAACAAAATATTCTGTCTTTCTGGGTTTTTGAGTGCTTACAAATGGAACAGGAACACAAAAGAAGAACAGTTTTTATGTCTAAGCTCACATTTTGATGAAGCAAGTCATCACCTCCCCGGCACACACAATAAATATATTTCCAAAGCCAATTTGTTACCATTAACTCACCAATTAATCCTGTTCTAAAATAATCATTTCTCCATGAAAGCATTTCAATAAATAAATTATAATTAAATAATTTATCAGCTAATAAAACATCAATACTAACCTTTTAATTTGCTCAGAGATGCTCTATTAGGCATATAAAACAATAGATTTAAAATTAAATAATAAGGGTGAATTTTAAACCCAAATTGAGCATTCCTAAATATTTAATGATTTTGGTGCTGCAGGACTAATAGATTTGCATTAGTTTTGAAATTTAGTAAGTAATTGCTTCATTAATTTTTCACTTTCACAGTAATGGAAATGTGACAAACAGTTCACTTCTGGGAACAGATACTAAAAGCAGGACTTTGTAGGACACTGAGATTAAATTATACTAACAAGCTATATTTAAAAAACCTGGATCACAGGAGAGCTAGCATAATTTAATTTTCTTATATATTAGGTAATTTTGACTACGACTAAACATGCCACCATTTTACTGCACTATATTTTATTTTATTTTCT